CCTCTTGGTTGGCCCATTTGCTTCCTCCTTTTTCCCTTGGTTTTGTGTGCTTATATTGTATCTTCTATTATAAACTTGCCTCAAATCCTTTTTGAAATGGTTGGAAGAGAAATCTTCTTTTTTTTTTTTTTTTTAAGTGTAGGCTGATTGACCCCTCTATTCCCACTAGGCATTCACCATGGTTTCTGGTACCCAGGAACATTGTGCCTGGGTGCCCAGCAGCTGTCTGGTGCTGGTCCAGAGGCATTTTCACCAGTCTGTGGTAGGAAAAAAGGGTGAAATAGTGCTTTGGAGCCCTACTGGTACAGTGGTTAAAGAACCTACCGCTACTCCATGGGAGAAAAGATCCGGTGATATCCTCCCTTAAAGATTACAGCCTGTACAAGAAAGGGAAATCAAAGATATCCAAATTGGTAAGGAAGAAGTAAAACTATCCCTATTTGCAGATAATATGATCCTATACATAGAAGACTCAAGATCCTCAGCAAGAAAGTTACTGGAACTTACTGCAAGATTTAGCATAGTGGCAGGATACAAGATCAACATACAAAAATCAGTTGGATTCCTCTACACCAGCAAAGAGGTCTCTGAGAAGGAAATCAGTACCATTTGCAATAGCTACCAGAAAGATGAAATACTTGGGAATAAATTTTACCAGGAACACAAAAGACTTATACAAGGAAAAACTACAAAACACTGCTTCAAAAAACTATAAGAGATCTACATAGATGGAGGAACATACCATACTCATGGATAAGAAGATTAAACATTATGAAAATGTCAATACCACCCAAAGCAATCTATACATTCAGTGCAATCCTGATACCAATTCCATCAACATTCTTTAAAGACATATAAAAACCAATCACTAATTTTATACAGAAAGAAAAGAGACCTCAGGTAAGCAAAGCACTATTGAAAAAGAACAAAGTATGAGGTCTCACACTCCCAGATCTCAAAACCTGCTATACAGCCACAGGAGTCAAAACAGCCTGGTATTGGTACAGCAACAGGCACATGGACCAGTGGAACAGAATTGAGAACCTAGAAATAGATCCATTGACCTATGGTCAGTTGAAATCCATTCAATGGGGAGGAGATAGTCTCTTTCACAAATGGTGCTGGCAAAACTGAATATCCATTTGCAGAAAACTGAAACAAGATCCATACCTTACGCTGTACACAAAAATTAACTCCAGATGGATCAAAGACTTAAATGTTAAACCTAGAACTGTAAAGTTCATCAAAGAAAAAAATAGGGGCAAACTTAAAGGCCCTAATTTATGGCATGAATAGATTGTCAAGCATAACCCAAGATGCACCAACAGCTGAAGATAAGCCAGATGATTGGAACCTTCTGAAAATTAAATTCTTACCTGAATCAAAAGACTTCTCCAAAAGATTAAAATGAAAACGTACAGAATGGGAAAAAAATATTTGGCAATGACATATCAGACAAAGGACTTATCTCTAAAATTTTTAGAAAACTCCAACACCTCAACATCAAAAAGACAAACAATCCAATTAGGGAATGGGTAGAAGACATGAGCAAATACTTCACCAAAGAAGATATTCAAGCAGCTAACAAACACATGAAGAAATGTTAATGATCATTAACCATTAGAGAGATGTAGATCAAAACAACCATGAGATACCCTCTCACTCCAGTGTTAATAACAAAGTTCAACAAGACAGAAAATAGCAAATGCTGGCAAGGATGTGGAGAGGTTGAGACTCTCATACACAGCTGATGAAACTATGAAATGATACAACCACTGTGGAAATTAGTATGACGATACCTTAAAAAGTTGGAGATAGAAATACCATTTGACCCAGCAATCCTGTTGTTGCTGTTATTGTTATGTGCCATTGAGTCAGACTCATAGCGACCCCTTCTTGGGTTTCTGAGGCGGTATCACTACGGAATGCCCAATCTTCCTTCTCATTACTAGGTATATATCCTAAAGAAGTGAGAGGCAAGGTATGAATAGATATATGCACACCCATGTTCATCGCAGCACTATTCACAGTAACAAATAGATGGAAACAACCTAAGTGCTCATCATCTGGGGAGTGGATAACCAAAATGTGGTACATACACATGATGGAATAGTATGCAGCCTTAAAGAATAATGTAGAATCTGCAAAACACTGCATAACATGGATGAACTTGGAGGACCTTATGCTGAGTGAAAAAGTCAATCACACAAGGACAAATACTGTATTAGTCTCTTATTGTAAAAAGTCAAGGAAAGGTTTATACATAGAAGGAAATTTTCTTTGTTAGTTACCAGGGATGGGAGAGGAAGGGAGGGAAAATTTCTAGATAGGTTGAAAGAAAAAGATACATATATATACACACATATATAATCATATATATATATATATATATATATATATATAATCTCCCAAAGATTTTGTATATATATATGTGTGTGTGTGTGTGTGTGTGTGTGTATACAGATGTATGTATACCAAAGATTATTAGTGGT